ATCGACCATCAGCTACTGATCCACCGCCTCACTGACGCTGGGGTCCAAGAGTTGGCCTTGCAGTGGCTTACCTCCTTTCTCCAGGGTCAGGGACGAGTGGCTGTAGGGGAACAGCTGTCCCAAAGGCACCCTCTGGTTTGTGGAGTGCCCCAAGGGGCAGTATTTCCCCAATGTTATTTAACATCTACATGTGGAGCCTTGCCCAGATTGCCCGGAGGTGTGGGCTGGGTTGTCACCAATATGTGGATGACACCCAGCTCTGATGCTGAATGGCCAGTCTGACTCCAGCCCAGAAGATCTGGACCTGGCATTACAAGCCGTGGCTGGATAGCTTAGACTGAAATTGAATCTGACAAAGACGGAGGTCCTGTGCTTGAGTCGGAGCGGCCTGGGGTTAGGGATCCCACTCCCAACCTTCGATGGGACTCCATTGGTGCCAGCGTCGGCGGTTAGGAGCTTGGTGTAGTGGTGTAGTGTAACCGCCAGCGTCGGCGGTTAGGAGCTTGGTGTAGTGGTGTAGTGTAGTAAAGCCAGTTTGGTGTAGTGGTTAAGTGTGTGGACTCTAATCTGGGAGAACTGGGTTTGATTCCCCACTCCTCCACTTGCACCTGCTGATGTGACCTTGGGTCAGTCACAAGCTCTGGCACAGCTGTCTTTGAAAAAGAGCAGTTTGTGTCAGAGTTCTCTCAGCCCCACCCCCCTCACAGGGTGTCTGTTGTGGGGAGAGGAAGGGAAAGGAGTTTGTAAGCCGCTCTGAGACTCCAATTGAAGGGCGGGGTATAAATCCAATCTCTTCTTCTTCTTCTGGGAGTGCTCCTAGACACCTCCTTAACAATGGAGGCCCAGGTATCAGCCACTGCCAAGTCAGCCTTTTACCATCTTCAGCTGATTAGGGAGTTGATTAGGCACAATGTTTAGGCACAATGACCTAGCAACGGTGAGCCATGCGATGGTCACCTTGCTGCAGCCAGGCTTTTGATGGGCCTCCACATGTGGGAGCACATCCAGCCTGTGCTAAAAGCATTGCACTGGCTGCCGATAGCATACCAAATTCACTTCAAGGTGCTGGTTCTTACCTTTAAAGCCCTATATGGCCAGGGACCTGCATACCTGAAGGACCGCCTTTCCCCGAAGAGCACTGCGTTCAGGGCTCCAAAATCGCCTGGCCCTCCTTGATTTGAAAGAGGCTAGGCTGGCCTCAACTAGGGCCAGGGCTTTCTCAGTGGCAGCGCCATAGTGGTGGAATAAGCTCCTGGATGACATCAGGGCCCTGCGGGACCTTTTACAGTTCTGCAGGGCCTGCAAGACGGAGCTCTTCCACCAGGCTTTTAAGTAGGAGCCGCACACAACAATCTGCATTGTGTTAAGCCCTCCCCCTGAATGTTCCATCAGCAGCCTGTGCCCACCAGCAAAATTAGAAAAGATAAGCTGAATTCCAACTCTGACCATTCCCTGTGTTTAACCAACATGTCCTGTTGTGACTGCTATACAATTTTATAATGTTATTATAACCATCTATTCTAGCTCTAGCACCTTGCACTTTAACTTTGTTATAACTGTACGATAAATTAAGATGTTTTATGTGTGATTCTATGTATTTTATACTTTTATGTATTTTATGTAAGCTGCCCTGAGCCTGCCTCAGTGGGGAGGGTGGGATATAAGTCAAACAAACAAAAAAACAAATAAATGTGTGTCATAAAATGTAATGCCACGTAGTAGAGATATAAATTTTATAAAGGACACAAACAGAATTAGAGATTTTTAAAAAACTTTAAATAAAACATGCTTAAAACACTAGCATTCTTGCAACATTTTGTTTCTGATAACTGACATCTCTTGCTCTGAATTATTGCATCAAAATGTCTGTGCTATAGCAATCTTGAGTATGCTGTTCAGATGTGTATCTGTAAGCTGCAAATCTACTTTTGATTTATTGACATTCATTACAGAAATCTCATGCTCAGTGTTCTGAGCCTAGGACCCAGGGGAAGACATGAGATGGCTGGGCATTGCAAGCTTTTGTACATAAATTGCTTTGTGTGCTGGTCAAGAACATGAGAAGGCATCCTGAGAAAGACTGAGGGCTATGTGTTTGTCTACAAAACTACAGTCTTCCCCAGAGAAATAATTACAACTCCTGTGAGGCAGTGCAGGAATAGAGAGACAGCAATGTATAGTGGTCAGTATCAGCCTACTATCTGGGGAGTCTAGGTTCAAAACCTCCAGTCTACAAAGGAAATGCGCTGGGTGAACATGGTCTGGACACACTCTCTCAGCCTAATCCACCTCAATGGCTTGCTTATTCCTCATTTAAATAGGTCACATGGCTTTCCTACTGAGAAAGACTCGATCATGAGGGCATGAACACAGTGAAAAGGGGGAGGAAACCCAGTTGCACCCAGGAGATCCCTGGCATAACGAGCCCAACAAAACACACACTGTAGCAAGGCACACAAAAGCTCATACCTTGAATAAAACTTTGTTGGTCTTAAAGGTGCTTTGTATTTTCCCCATGTGATTGAGGCAGTTGAGCAAAGCAAGGCAGGAGGACGGGAGAAGCCTCAGCCAATGGAGGGGAAGAAAGGCTCGCCTTTGTCTCCTGTGAGATTGAGGCAGCCTGGCCAGGAAGCAAGCGCTGGCTTGTTTCCTCCCTCCCCCTGGGAGGAGGAGGGGGAGGAGCCTCAGCCAGTGCAGGGAACAGAAGCTTGCCTCTCTATCTCTCCTGTGTGATTGAGAGAGTCTGATAAAGCAAGCTGCAATGCCAGCAGCAGCAGCAGAACTGGAGAAAGAAGCAGAAGAGAGTTCCCTGCAGACCAGATATGAGCCCTTTGAGGGCATGATCCGGCCCACGGGCCGCATGTTTAACATCCCAGCTCTAACCAATCTACCATACTGGCTTTTGCCAGCAAAGGGTGATCCAGAGCCCTGAGCATTCATGAGGCTTATACTGGCACATGGGACTCTTTCCTCTTCCATACTTAGCAAAGGAGACCCCTCAGTGCACACAAGGTAGAGTTACTAGAACTGAGCCAAAGCCCAGAGTACCTACTTGCATAATAAGCAAATTCATTAATGTTCGCAGATGCAGAGAGGTGATTGTTTTCTGTTGGATTGAAATGGCAGCAATATACATTTAAATTAAATTATAATGAGTATTTCCTAAATTGTAGAGGGAGGAAAACTGCCTAGGAAGTTTGTGGTATTCTCATCATTATTATTTTTCAACATAATGAGTTTTCCAGTTATGTTACTGCATGACTTATCCTGAAGGTGCTGGGAATAGCTTGGTACAGGTCATAATCTATCCCATATTCTCTTCCTGCTGTTGCAGAGGGCAGGAGCAGAAGAGCTGTTGTTATAAAGGGCCTGTGCAGCTGAACTCCGTACCCATTCTTCTTGTGTCTATCTTCTTCTCCTTCTTGTGTTGTCTCTGCCAGCCCCAAAATTTTGATTGCAAGCTCCTCACAGCAAAGATGAGCCCCTTTTTATTTTCCTTTTTTGCTCTTCTATGAAGTACTTGCACATTGATGGTGCCACAATGATGAAAATGTTTCCCAAAGGAAAGGTTTGGAATGTTCTCCTTGCTTTTTAAAGTCTGCTTTGGCATTTGCCGTTCTTCAGTGCATTATTAGCATATCTTGGGGTGATGCCCATAAGACATTTCTTGTTTTTTGTAACTGCTTGTCTTTCTTTTGCTCTTTTTAGCTGAGTTGCTGTGGTATCCAGAGCTACACCAACTGGAGCATTAGCACTTACTTTACCAACCATGGCATCCCCCCAAGCTGCTGCATGAATTCCAGTGACTGTAATACCCAGGACCTGCAAAACATGACAGTTGCCGCTACTAAAGTAAACCAAAAGGTATGGATTTACTTTCATAGATTTCTTTTAGGGTTTTTTGTAAGATGGAAAAAAAAATGTGCTGAAAGAGAGATGCCTAGAAATTTGGCACTAATCTTACCCTTATGTGGCAGTGTTCTAGAACATTTGTTTCTCAAATGACCACAGTGAATGAATCACCAGTGATTTCTAAACTTACTTCTGATGCCTACAACTCTCATCCTGACAGAGGACTTGTTCCATAGAGAGTGAGCTGTCAGGACCAGTGTTCCCTCTAAGATGAGTTAGTGTGGGCTAGCTCACAGTTTTTTAGCCTCCAGCTCACAGATTTTTGTCTTAGCTCAGGAAGAATGGCTCCGGAGCAAACTAATTGATGCAGTAACCAAATCGCTTGCTCACAACTTTAATGCCAGTGGCTCACAAAGTAGAATTATGCTCACAAGACTCCACACCTTAGAGGGAACATTGGTCAGGACTGGAGAACTCCACAAGGAGACTCAGATATCCTTGATACTTATGTCAGTCATCAGGTCTGTCCTGAAACATACTCCTCCCCTCCCCATTTTGCAATTTGTCTCCTGAAATATCATGTCATGTAGTGGATGCAAACAGCTTCCCTGAACTGAGAAAATAGGGATGATTGACTTAAACACCATGCTTCATTAGGTATGTTGACTGCACCTGTTATAATGTTATTGGAGTCACGGCACTGCTGGCAGAACACAGCAAAAAACTGACCCCAAGCCAAATGAGACTGCAAAAGCCATGGTGACTTAGCAAGAGCAAACTGGATGATAAACATGTTGAACAGATGGCTTAATGGTTTAGAGCAACTCCTAGTTTGTGCAGTGTACAAAAAACAATCTTCCCACAGCAGTATGTCCTGGAAAAGTATTTTCATATTTGAACCAAAAGCCTTTAGTGTTATGCTTCTTTGCTAAATTGCGTAGAAGAAGCAATTATTTGTTTATTATTATTTAACAAGTGGGGACCTGCAAGAAACTCACAGGAAAATTGCACTGCTGACCCCCTGCTTTCTCTTCTGGCTTCTGACTCCACCCCTCTCCATTGCTATTTTGTTACTTTGCTTGTTACAGAAGAGCAAAAGGGGTTTTGTGTTTTGTTTTTCTTTTTGTTTTGCACTGACAGATATATTTTTTTCCTGAGGGAGAAAGAGGGTGCATCATAAAGGTGTTTAGTAACTTAGAAGTGGGTGAAGAGAGTTTGAAGTCTTTGTAACCTTGGCCAATCCCATCCCTAGAGAAAAGAGACAGAGACAGATGCCACACAATTGGAGAGAGAGAAGAGAAGAAGCTGAAGTTGAATCCCTTCCCCACAGTAGGTCAGATCACCTCAGCTCCATTGTGAAGAAAAAGAAACCATCTGGCCCAAAGTAACTGTACGATGAGTAGGATGGGCTGGGGGAGAATCAGATATGGGGATAGGAGAGCCAAATACAGCATCAGAGAGGGTTATGAAATTCCTTTATGTTGGCTTTGTAAGCTCCGACAGTGCTTCTCCATTTGTGGGGGATTTAAACCCCCCCCCCCTTTGAACTTTTGGAATGTTTCTTCAAATCTGAGGAGGCTTCCTTAGGTCTCAAGAAAAATGTCTTTCGTCTGTACCTGGCCCCATTCTCTGAGTTTCTTGATCCGCACTGGGGCCAGGTTCAGAATTATTCTATTTTTACTTAAAACATTTCCACTTGTTCAGTATCCTTTAGGCAGTAAAAATGAAAACAGTTTAAATATGAAAACATTAAAACTATTTAAAATACAAATACATATAAAATATTTAGAACAATGGAATTTTACGCACACACACAAATAGGGAGGAGGCTAATAAGAGTTAGTGATTGAATGCCAAACAAAAGAAAAGAGTCTTCACCTGCTGGCAGAAGACAATGATAAATGGGGAAAGACATATCTGTCTGAATAGGGAGTTCCAAAGATCTTCTTCGTGGTCTCTGGGCATCACACCTATGGGATTCAGTGCACCTGCACTGATCCGATCGGTGTTGTACAAAGCTCACAACGGGATTTTTCACACCTCCACCCTGAGTCTGCGTGGGAACCCCAACTGTGCATGCCCAGGAGGGTGGAGCGCAGACATCCCGCCAGTTCTTCTCTGACCACCGCGCTGTTAGCAGCTGATCTGTTGGTCAGTGATCTTCGTCTCTTCCTGACATCGGGATTCGTCTTTTAATTTTCTTCGTTCATTCAGCTTTTTTCTTTCGTTCTTCAGCCAAAAAAAGGGGGGGTTGGAAAAGGGTTGAGAACTTTTGTCGGGTCTTTGGACTCCCCCCCTCCCTTTCTCCTTCTTTCCCTCTTGTCTGAGGAGACTTTTATGGATAAGAAGTGGGGGTGTTTCAAGAGGTGTGTCTCATGTGGCAGTAAATTGGCTCCTCAGGACGGACACACTCTCTGTATTTTCTGTCTGGGGGGATCTCATCGTCTAGAAAGTTGTACTTTCTGTGCGAAATTCTCTAATCAAACGCGCAAAAACCGAGTGTCTAGACTTAATGTAGCCCTTTGGGAATGGCGTTAGCCGCTCCGAAACCAACTATGTTGACTGAACCCCCTCTGAAATCGTCGCTATCGACCGAACCCCCACCGAGATCATCCATATCGACCGAACCCCCTCCGACGACGACATCGAACCCCCCTCGGCCAGGCCTCTAAGTCTGCTTCTTCTGCTTCCACACCAGCTAAGAAAAAGAAGAGGGACGAGTCAGAAAAACAAAAGTCCCATAAGTCTTCCAATAGGGCTCCGCAGAAGTCTCACACTGCCGCCCGTTCAGCAGTTGCACCCCGTGTCGACACAGCCTTCCATTCCGGAGCTGCGTAAGGTGCAATCAGTGCCCCCGATTGAGATCCTCAACTCTCCAGTTAGGCAGCTGAGCCCTCCGGTATTGGAGTTGAATCTTGAGAAGCGTCCACCATTGATATCACCTTCTGATGCTGATGATGATGTAATCTGAGCTGGCTTTTGGATTTTGGCTCAGCACTTGTCTAAATGGATTATTGGGACAATAACACTGTGCTACCTGCTAGCAAAGCGTCCTCTCCCTGTACGCCTGAAGGTGCATTCCACCAGATCTACTGCAACCTCCACAGCTTTCCTGAAGGGCGCATCGCTATCCTATATCTGCAAAGCTGCTACGTGGTCTACACCAACCACATTTATTAGCCTTTTAAAAAATATTTTTATTAGGTTTCATATAACAGGAAAATATGCAATACAAAGTCATTAAAACGAGACCCAACATGTAAGAGCATAATATAAAGCTTACAGGTAAACTCTGATATTTATTAGACATTATGCACTAGATGTTCGTGCGCAGCATGAGGTTGATCTGGGTCGTCTGGTCTGATCTTCCACGGTGCACTGAGCTTAACAGTACCCACCTCCAGGTGAGCCACTGCTTTTCAATCTCCCATAGGTATGATGCACAGAGAGCATGAAGAAGATAAACAGGTTGTTACCTGTAACTGATTATCTTCGAGTGGTCATCTGTGCAGTCACACCGCCCGCCCTTCCATCCCCACTGCTGTCCTCAGTTTCTTTTTGTCTTACATTGCTTTGGTTGATGGCAATCAGAAGGAACTGGCGGATGTCCGCACTCCACCCTCCTGGGCATGTGCAGTTGGGGTTCTCATGCAGACTCAGGGTGGAGGCGCAAAAAAACCTGTTGTGAGCTTTGTACAACACCGATAGGATCAGCTTAGGTGCACTGGATCCCATAGGTGTGACTACACAGATGACCACTTGAAGATCATCAGTTACAGGTAAGCAACCTGTTTTTTTGGTGCCATGGCCGAGAAGGCCCTTTCTCAGGTTGTCACCAGTCTATCTTCAGACAGCAGGGACACCTAAAGCAGGGCCCCTGAAGATGACCAGAGTGGTATATCTCATAAAGGGTAGAATCTTGAAGCCTGTCTAGCCCTCTGTTGGATCCCCAAGCATCGAGAATAAATCCACGTTTTCAAGAAAGCAAAATTTATTTCAAAGCGTTGAAGACATACTCAAACACGTTCTTTGTTAGAACTGGGGATACACAGTTAGGTCAAGCATAATAAAGGAAATTCAAACAGATACAGATCCAATGAATGGCATTCCCGCTGGCGGGCTAAAGAAACGGTTGCGCGCCCAGTCCATGGGAACCAGGCAGAACATCAGACAAAACACAGGTGCAGTACTCATGAGAAAAGCAATAGGCAAGCATTACAGCCTCTTCTCCCCCACACAACCTCCAGCAGTTATCTTGTGCATTCCAACGCAGGAGCAGGATGATAGAAAACAAGCCGGGTGCAACAAGGAAAGGATATGTACACAGAGGTCACAGAAAACAGAATGGCAGCTTGCTGACAGGTGTATTAGATGCACAGGTTTAGATGGAGAAAGGAAGTTCATCGGGCCTAGACAATAACGAGTTATAAACGGTAAGAAGAAACATTTTCAATCAAGCCCAGAAACAGTGAGCAACTCCACTTCTTTCTACAGAACTAGAGTGCACCTAAGCATGCACACAGGATTCATTTCTCTCATCCCTCAGTAACTACGGCAACTCAGGGGAGGAGCCGTGGCTCAGTGTTAGAGCCTCTGCTTGGCACGCGGGAGGTCCCAGGTTCAATCCCCGGCCTCTCCAGTTGAAAACCTGGAGGTTTTTTGTTATCTTCTGGGTGTGGAACAGCGGTCACCGCGGGTATGGAGGGGGAGGTATTTGTGAATTTCCTGCCTTGTGCAGGGGGTTGGACTAGATGACCCTGGAGG